CAGGTGGATCAACCCTAGCTCAACAAGTAGTGCAGAGGGCATACCTGAAGTAACACTAGGCATAAGCTCTGCAGTCCTTCCACATCCAGTCACAAATTGTAGTGGACAATTAAATAAACTCACTGGAGGAGGCAGCTCCAAAAATATCATCATCCTCCAATGATAGAAGAGCTCAGCACATCAAAAGATAAGGCTGAAGCACTCGTAACAATTCTCAGCTAGAAGTGCTTAGATGGTCTACCTTTGCCTCCTCCCGTAGTCCCCAATATGATAGATGCTGGTTCTCAGCCAATTTGATTCACTCCACATAATATCAAGAAATCTTCAGAGGCACTGAATACTGCTAGGGTTATGTGCCCTGACACTATTTCAGTAATAGTACTGAAGACTTGTGCTCCTGAGCTTGTCCCACCCTAGCCAAGCAGTTCTGGTACAGCTACAATACTGGCATCTGACTGACAATGTGGAAAATTGCCCGGGCATGTCCTGTACACAAAGCAGGACAAAGCCAAACTGACTAATTACTACCTGATAAGTCTACTTTCAATCATCGGTAAAGTGATGGAAGGTGTCATCAACAGTACTATCTGGCAGCAACTGCTTAGCAATAACCTGTTTAGCGTTGCCCAGTTTGGGTACCGCTAAGACCATCAGGCTCCTAATCTAACTACAGCCTTGGCTCAAACACAGACAAAAGTGCTGAATTCTAGAGGTGGGATGAGACTGACAGACCTTGGCATAAAGGCAAAACTGGAGTTAATGGGTATTGGGAATGGAGAGGTGAACTCTGTTGGTTGGGGTCATACCTGGTGCATAGGAAGATGCTTGTGGTTGTTAGAGATCAGTCATTTCAGCTCCAGAAATCCCTGTAGGATTTCCTCGGGTTAAAATCTGAGGCCCAACCATCCTCAGCTGCTTCATCAATGACCTCCCATCCACCATAAGGTCAGAAGTGGAGAGGTTTGCCAATGTTCACCATTCACAACTCCTCTGATACTGAAGCAGTCTGTATTCAAATGCAACAAGTTTTGTATAGTATCTGGTCTTGTGTTGACAAGTGGCAAGTAACGTTTGCACCACAAATGCCAGGCAATGATCATCTCCAACAAGAGACAATCTAACCACTGCCCCTTGACATTCAATGATGTTGCCATCACTGACTGACTGCCCCACTATCAACATCCTGGGGGTTACTATTGACCAGAAACTCAACTGGAGTGGCCGTTTTAAGTGCATTCTCAACAAGAGCAGGTGAGAATTTTGGAATACTTAAGCAAGTAACTCACCACCTGACTCCCCAAAGCTTGTCCTCTATCTACAAGGGCACAAGTCAGGAATGTGATGGCATACTCCCCACTTGCTTAGGTGTGCACAGCTCTAGTAACACTTGAGCTTAACACCATCCAGGACAAAGCAGCTACTTGATTAACACCACATCCACAAGTATCCCTCCTTCCACCACTGACGCTTGATAGCTGCAGTGCATTTTGTAGCTAGTACAAACTGCTGAAATGCACTGAAGATCCTCTGACAGCACCTTCCAAGCCCATGACTCCTTTCATTCAGAAGGACAAGAGCAGCAGGTGTATGTGAGCACTACCATCTACAAGTTCTCTCCAAGCTCTTTCACTATCCTGACTTGGAAATATACCACCGTTACTTCCATGTTGCTAGAACAAAATCTTAGAATTCCCTCCCTAAGGTCATTGTGGGTCTACCTACTACACGTAGCTACCTTCATAGACCACTGCAGTCTCACCACCACCTCAAGGGCACTAGAGACAGGCAATAAATGCTAGCAAGTGACACACGTCCCGCAAGTGACACACGTCCCACAAGTGAATTTTTTAAAAAGTCCTCTGAGAATTGAGCAGTGGAGTAAAGACCTATAGACAGGTGTATGAGAGAAGTAGAAGTATGAGTTTGCTCCTACCTATCATTTAATCCTGGCAAAATGACAGACTAAGCTAAACTTAATCAGTAATAAGCAAGTTATTGACCTAATGTAAGGGAGCATTATCTAACAGCCGTGAGTGGATTTGAAAATGGGGAAAATATCACAGTTAAGATGTCAAAAAGCAACTTGCAGTTGAAGTACTCTTAAGTTTAGTTAGTTTTGTAATTTTGGCTGTCACATTTGCCCATACAAAGGTCCTGTAAATAGTGATGTGATAATGACCACATTAACCAGCATAAATAAAATGGATTGAAGTATAATTATTTGGCCAAGATTCTAGGAGCTCTCCCTTGCTTTTTTAAATAGTGCTATGAAATCTCTTGCATTCGGAAGGCTAGAGGGGCCTTTGTTTAGCATCTTTTGGATGAAGTGTTACCTCCGAAAAGTGCTGCAATTAGTTTCAATGTAGATTTTTGTGGTCAGTTTTCTGAACTGACAACTTATTGTTGTGAGTAAGGCAATATTTTGCACCTGGGACATTATCCTATTTAGGAACAGGAATGGGAACAGGCCATTCAGCCCCTTGAGCCTGTTCCACCATTCAACGAGGCTGATCTGAGGCTTGTCTGCCTTTTGACCCTTCTCTTAAATTTTTGTTAAGCAAAGGTATTTTATCTCCTATAAAATGAACAACTGATCCTGCATCCACTGCCATTTGTGGAACATAGTTCCAAATCTCTTCTACCCTTTTATATGTAAAAATACTTGAATGTTTTGGCCTATCTTCACCACCCTGTCTACCTATGACACTAATTCCAAGGAATTATGCACCTGCATCTATTGGTCTCTCTGTTTGACAACTCTCCCTAGGTCCTACCATTAACTGAGTAAGTCCTGTCTTGGTTTATCTTACCAAAATGCAACACCTCTCATTTATCTAAATGAAACTCCATCTGCCATTCCTTGGCCCATTGGCACAGTTGATCAAGGTCCTATTGCACCCTGAGATAACCTTCACTACACTATACCACCAATTTTTGGTATCATCCACAAAATTACTAACCACCCCTCGTATATTTGCAGCCCAATTGTTTACGTAAAAGACAAACACCAGTGGATCCAGCACTGATTGTTGTGGCACACCACTGGTCACAAGCCTCCAGTCTGAAAAACAATTCTCTACCACCACCCTCTGTCTCCTACCATCAAGCCAATTTTGTATCCTATTGATTAGCTCTCTCCCTAGATGCCATCTTAGATTAAATCACAGATCTACTATGTGGGATCTTGTTAAAGATCTTAAATCCATGTAGACAATGTCTACTGCACTGCCTTTGTTATCTTCTGGGTCACCTCTTCAAAACAAAAACTTAATTTGAGACAGGATGGCCCATGCACAACACCATGTTGACTATCCCTAATCAGTTCTTGCCTTTCCAAATGCATGTAAATTCTGTCTCTCCGAATCCCCTTCAACAACTTAGCCACCACTGATGCCAGGCTCACTGTAGTTCCCTATTTTTTTCCTTGCAGCATTCCTTAAGTAAAGGCACAACAATAGCCATCCTCCAGACTTCTGGTATTTTTCCCTATGGCTCACGATGATACAAATATCTCTGCCAGGGGCCCCACAGTTTCTTCCCTAGCTTTCTATAATGCCCTGGGAAGCATTTGATCAGGTCCCAGGGATTAATCTAACTCTGTTTTAAGAGAAGAACAGTTCAGTACATTAGAAACCAGGGTAGAAGAGAAGATTGCTTGATGCCTAGCCACAAGACTTCCTGTCACCCAGGGAGATAAAGACAGCTATCCAGAAGGTTAGGCAAGGTATGTGAGTTCGGAGGGTAGAAAAAGTATTGTTCATATGGCTGTCTCCAGCTGACCGGGCGGAAGAAATCAGGTCCTGGGTGTCTTGGAGTCATATAAGAACCAGGAAGAGAAGATTAAGGGACCCATTTTAAGAAATGAATGAGTTGTTTGTTTGAGTCCCTGAAGGAGACCAATGAAAGAAATTAAATGAAGATAGTCAATTGCAGCTGTGCCAACTAAACAAAACTTGGAGATGGGTGATCCTTCACTGTAGTTTGAGCATCTGGAATATTTTTAAGGTTAAGTGGGGTGAATCTTTGTTTCATTGCAAAGTCAAAAAATAATTTCAAATAGCTGTATGCAATAAAATAGCATTTTTTTTTCTCCTGCCTTGTGTGTAAATTTTTTTTTCTTTTAAAAGAAAGTTGAATGTATTTGTAAAAAGAGGCTGCCGGTGACTGATCCACAGTAACTAGATAGCAAGAGCAAAATTTATGATCTATCAATCCAAGTTTCACTTTGTGATCTGAACTGTGCAGTATTAACATCAGCTGCGATCACGACAGCTGTCATCCACTGATCTAATTGGCCTAATGCATTAGCCTAATGGTTGTGTAAAAGGCCTATTCGTATGATGAAGGTAACACGCTGTATGATCATCCTGTGTAGTCTATACTTTTTCAGTACTTCGGCAGAAGTATTTGAGTTTAGAATTGAAAAGAAGTCCAGTTGTATTATGCTTATAGAAGGCCTTGGTCAGGCCATCCACAGAATTCTGCACGGTTTTGATCCCATTTATTGTGTGCCTTAAAAGGCACAGAATCCCTGAAGTAAGTGCAAGTAAAATTTCCAAGAAAGCACTTGAACTGAGCGATTACAGTTAATGGGAAAGGTAAGCTTGACTGTGATCTGAAAGAAATCTTTGTGGATGGTTTGGATTAAGGAGAACCTTTGCACTCATCAGGAAAATCCAAAACTTGGGACCTTATATAGAAGACAGTTTACAACCAAGTCTAAGCAGAAAATTCCTCACCTAGTGAGTGATTAGAATTTGAAGCTTGTCACCACAGAAAGTGGAGTCAAATAGATTTGATGCTTTCAAAATAAAACAAAATGGGTATATGATAGAAAGGATTTAAGATGCACTTAAAAAGTAGAAATGAGGTGGTTTGGGAGCTGACTTGAGTATAAACATTAGTTGATCTGAATATCTTTGTTTCTGTTAAAACATTCTGCATGAATTTGAATATGCCTCTTTGACAAACTGTTATATAAAATTGTAATTCTTATTCAGGTGAGTATTCTTGACTCTGAAGAAGTTTGTATGGAACTTCTAAAAGGAAGTGGCGCTCAAGAGCGTGTGAAGGAGGTACTGAGAATATCCTCAGATGGAAGCACGGTAAGTTATTTCTGAAAGTGATAATTTACATCCATGTCTTGATTTTTTTTTTTTTTCTCAGACGTTCAATGTTTGTATGAATGTGGAGTGTAGCATGTCTCTTTTTCACAAGCCCAAGGCTGTTTTTTATTCTAACTTTTTTGTCAATGTTGATGTTTCTGATATTCTATTTTAATATCTTCCAGCAACTATATTTAAATTTGTCTACTAATCTACAAGGGATCTTTTTTAAAATCACTTACAATCAACTAGCTTATGTTCTTCTCAGGATTCTGTTCTTAAGCCCTTTGGCAAGTCACTTTGTACACCAGTCAGAACATGATGCAGGATAATATAAGATATTGCTCAAAATTACCAGGAAATGTTCAGTCCTAAAATTATCAATACACCCTTGTATATAGAATCCATTTGAGAGTACAAGTGTTTGTAGAGTCATAGGGTCGTAAGCACGGAAACAGGCTCTTTAGTCCAACTCCTCTCGTGCTTGCCAACCAGATATCCTAAATTAATCTAGTTCCATTTGGCCCATATCCCTCTTAAACCCTAGTTGTGTAAGTCAGGCGTTTGTAAATCAAACTCAGTGTAGCTTGATTTTACTGTTTCATTCAAGTATGGCTAATGTTATGATTACCATCTAGATATACGTTTATCCATAAAATCATAGGTGTTTGAAATTTTACTTTCCTCAGATCCATATTTATCACCCAAATGAGGGAAAAGGTTTCCCACTGGATGACAGACCTCCATCTCCACCAGAGGATGTATTTGCTTACAGTTTTGACAACTTGCCAGGTATCCTATATTAATACACAATGGTATAATTTTTTTCTTGAGTCTTCATAATGTTTAAAATTATAGACTGCCAATGTAGTCAACTTTGGTTGCATGAAATTAATTGGAGCATAATTTAGTTTATTTAATTGAGTATCTTTTATGTTGATGTGGTCTACATACTGACTTGTTAAATATGCCTTGCCGTTACGGCCTAGTTCAAATTTAGCGTTTTTGATTTATAATTTTATAGTCATTGCTTTTCTTAATTGCCAAATTGGGTTTACATAACTGTGTTAACAGAGTTCTAGAAAAAAAAATTTGCTTTTAAAGAAATGTATCACAGGGTATAATTTACCACCACTCAATAGACATATTCTTCCAGAAAACATTAGGGTAAATATCTCTAATAAAAAGGAAAGTCTAGACATTAGTGTTCAGGCAGTAGCTATGGTGAAATTTACATTTTAGTTCTGATGGAAAGTCAAATGTTAAAAATAAACTCTCTTTAAGCAAACACGTTTAAACAGATCTGATTGAAAGTTCTTCACCTTAACATCCTTTACGTTCTGTTGAATGGTCATCAACCTAAAACTTTGAGTAGAATCTTGAGAGAAACATCATCTGTGAAGGGGAAGGGGAGGGATAAGTAAGGGAGTCTGCTGCAGTGGTTCGAATGTGCTTTAATTGAAGCAGGCTTTGTTTTTGACTCTTTAACTCAACCACAGTATTATCGCCCTGCAGTTCTGAGGAAGGGTCCCCGGATCCGAAACATTTAACTCTGTTTTTTCCTTCACAGATGCTGCCAGATCTGCTGAGCTTTTCCAGCAACTTTGTTTTTGTTCCTGATTTACAGCATCCGCAGTACTTTCGGTTTTTATTATCATCCTGCTTCTTGCTTTCTCGACCGATAACACACAAACAGGCATTGTGACACACCACACGTTTCAAAGGAAGGATTTCTAGGTAGAGAACCCAGATAAGGATTGAAATAACTGACCTACATATTTGGAGCCTTCACCAAAGTAGTGCTTACTTTATTGGCCCAATAGGAAGACTTTCCTTATTCCAGGAGCCTGCCTACAGCAGAAATGAGCTGAGGAGAAAGCTTTGGCATTCCGAGACACTGCTGCTCACATGTCAAAAGTAGATTTTCCACTTGAACATCCTCTGGGTGGGCCTTGCCTCCTTCAAGCTGGATCCATTCATCCCTCTGTCTTCTGGCACAGCCTGTGCCTGAGAAGGCAGCTACTGCTGTTCTAGCTCTTGATGCTGTTGGTGTTGTTGATGCTGCTGCTCTTGTTCTTCATGAGACATCCATTGTTCAGGAAAGTACAACTCAAGATGAGTGAAATCCAAACCAGTGGAATTACTTTCAAGAAATTGTCAAACCTATCAAGTAGTGAAAGCATACTCCGAAGTGATGTGACACCAACCCTGAAGTAGGGCTATTCAGTTTTACTCTTTTGAAGATTTTCCCCCCGCAATCCATCAGTGTAATTGTTTAAGTTCTCCCCACTGTCCTCTTGCCTAGTTGACCATAGCGAGTTCCATACAACTCTGGAAATTTGAGTGCTGGCTGTTAAAAGCATAATGACATGTTAAATGCTTCCAATCTGATACCATTTTTCAAGTTTAGCTCCTGCCTTGAACCTGACTCCCCTTGGTAATTAAAATCTGTCCACTGACTGTTTCTCTGTCCATAGATGTCACCTGACTTGCTGAGCATTTTCTATTTTAATGTGATTTCCTTTTAGATGTACTGTTTCTTTTATTCACTGACTATGCTGAGTTTTTAAAATGCAGAAGTGATTGGCCTTGTACTTAATCCATTTGTATCTCACTGTCACTGTTACAAATTTGATTTCAGAAAAGTACTGGAAAAAATATCAATATGCATCCAAGTTCGTCCATTTGGTAAGATCTAAAACTCCAAAGGTCACACTGTACACTAAATATGCCAAATGCATGTTAATGGAGAATAGTCCACAAGCTGATGTTGAAGTCTGCTTTTATGATGGTGAGTCTTAAGTGCTTAAACGTGAAATACAAGATGATGATACTGACACTAACAAGTGGGTTTTTACTACTTTGATAACTCCTTTTTAACAGGAGCCAAAATTAACAAAACATCAGAGTTTCTTCGAATCATAGAGAAATCTGGAAAATCTCACACTCTCAAAGGAACAAAAATAAATGGGCCAGGTGAAGAAATAAATTCTTATGTGGAACATGCACACGAGGTAAAAATATTATTTGTAATGTTGCTCGTCTGTTTGCACGCTTTTTGTTAAAAATGCAATATTTGTGTAATTCATGAAATTTTAAAACTCTATGCTGTTTCAAAACAAAATTCCATGGAAGCCTTAATATTAATCAGAAATTCCACCCTAGTTAGGACGCTTGTAATTGGGATAATTCACTTTAATGTATTTTAAGACGTGTCACTGGACGATTGCTGCTGTCCTGCTTTGATCTAAATGTGTTGAAGCTTTGTCCATTTAAGTGTATTTTTGAAAAGCAATTCCAATTACTGATGAAATCAGAAAATACAAGATAACAGTTGAACTTAATCTCATGAATCAATGTATGTTGTTAGCACATTCTTAAAATTCTGCTAAACTAAACAACTATGCAAACAAGTTCTCAGTTTTAAAAAAAGTGAAAATTTAGCCTAGCCCTAAATGTGGAGGACTTGCTCAATTCGAAATTATTCCCACTAATGCATTGGTGGTGGTGACAGTAGCTGGTGTTGTGCACCTACTCTGCATGGAACCAGAATGTTGGAATCTGAAGTGCCTATCCTATGGCCACCCTTTTCTCTGCCGTCTTCACTGCTTGGTTTGCCACTTCACCTAGGAAGTTGGGTAGCCAGTGAGACAGTTGGATGAGGCCCAAAGGGTACTTTCTGACCACTTTCCTGGGTGGTTAATTCCTTTCAGGGCACACGGTTGCTAAAGAAACCAAGTAAATTCTGGGAATTACAGACCAGTCAGTCTGTCTTCTGTGGTGGGCAAATTATTGGAGAGGATTCTGAGAGATAGATAGTATTTATGATTATTTGGAAAAGCATAGTTTGATTGGAAGTAGTCAGCATGGTTTTGTGAGGGGCAAGTCATGCCTCACAAGCCTTATTGAATTCTTTGAGGATGTGACAGACACTTATATTGAAGGTAGAGAGGTGGATGTGGTGTATGTGGATTTTAGCAAGGCATTTGAGAAAGTAAGGAAGCATGGGATTCAGGGAAATTTTGGCTGTCTGGATACAGAATTGGCTGTGTGGGGAAACCAGAATACCCAGAAGAATCCCACGCAGACACGAGGCGAACATTCAAAGCCACACACAATCGTCCAAGGCTGGAATTGAGCCCAGGTCCCTGGTGCTAAGCACTGAACCACTGTGCTACCCTACCATAGAGTTTTTAATTCTTCCCATTTCTTATCAATTCTTACCATTTAATTATTACGGAGAAGGCACCATTTAATACCTACCAGTCAGTCTATTTGCCAACTATTCAGCACCCTCCACCATATAATGCTATTTTCCCTTTTTTTAAAATTGGTATTTCTTGCCAATTGTTCTGATCAGTGCAAAACAAAAAAATTTCAATATCTTTTTCAGAAACACAAGTTCTGTACTACCAAATGACTATTTAAAATAATACTTCAAAATAACTTGTTAACCTGATTTATTAATAGCTATTTATATTTAACAGGCTCATCAGACTTGTCTTGAACTGGAATCAATAATTGCAATACAAGATGAAAGGAAGGAAAAGCCGGTGTCATTTTTTCCAATAATTATTGGAAGGTAAAACATTGATTTTATGAATTATTAATTCCAAGTTGTGTACCCAAAAATTGCAAAGCATATAGAAGTATTATTGAGGTTTGACCATTTTAATTTGGTGACTCTCTGATGATTCTTTGTTTTCTTATTATAGACGGCCATCCAGTGCAGACCCAATGCTGTCTCCAGCTCCTTCAGTAGGCCCAAAATCTGCAGCAGGGGAGCAACCACAGATCCAACATATCTTTTCTAGCCATACTACAAGCATTACTCCTTCTGTAAGTAGGCAATCCATGTATTTTTATCTAATAAAGCAACGTCCCTTTTTGCCAATACAGTATCTTCCTTTGTTCTGAATTGTCACAAGCCACAGCATTTAGAACATAGGTTATGTTGGATGTTTCTGATATAGTCATTACTTTCTTGAAGCTAATTTGTTTACCAGTAATTCACTTCCCAATGGCTTTGCATTTAAAAAGAACAGTTGATACATGGTTTTAAATCGTGGGTGCAATGCTTCAATCACTTACTATATTTGATCTGTCGAAATATCTTTCTAGCTAATTTTTCTTAGTGCACAATCTATGCTGCAGCAATTTGCCTGAATGATCTTTAACCCTTCAGAATAAATAAATGGCTACTGTAATTTAGGATGCTGAATAAAATGCATTCAGAAAGCACCAAAGCAAGCTAATGCTAATGGATTAGTTAGTTTGGTACATACTTAAGATATAGGCAATTTCTTTTTTGTTCACTGAAGATTGGTCTTTAGTCAGCAGGAACTACTATGTTTCAGATATAATGTGTTCCATTGTGACTTGCAAATTGTTGTAGTTTGGTTCCATGCTGTTGGTGATCCTCCCTCACTGTGATATGCACTATTAGACTCTGTCCTTGATTGTCATACCTATACATGTACTATTAAAAACAAGGCAGTTTGTGGATTTATAGATATTCTTCAATTTATTACGATCATGCAGTTGTTTGCTGCCTCTTCCTGCTTCATGTTTTTCTACATGACTGATCTTTTTTTCTCTCTCATGCAATTAAAGCTGGCCTGCTTTAGAAATTGCAGACTAATCACATGTCGTTACGGTGTCACAATCCTAGCTATGTATGATCTTGAGTAACAAATGCTTTATAAATAGAAGTACTATGAGTGTCTATTTTACTGAAACATCTGCCATCATTCAGAGCTAAACTTTGCTTTCTTTCTCTATTGGTAAAACTTAGAAATCTGTTGTATATACAAGACTTTACCCTCCACCGTACAGCTGCTGTTTTTAATGAAAGTGTCACTCAACTAATGGACAGAGTGCTTGCTAAAAAATGTTAATTCACATGAGACAGCTTGGTTTTTCTTTATTTCTCTAACTTTTCATCTAGAATACACTGAGGTTTTATCTTTTTGTATAACTTGTCCTTTGGGGCTGCTTTTTAACTGTTAGGTTTGTTTCTTCAGCGATATGATTACTGTCAAGTTTACAATGATGGTATCGTCCCTCTCTAAGATATTGATGTCCAGTGATTTGTGTTCATGTTGTATACTTTTTTAGCAGATAATTGATAATTAAGGAGTAAAGTACACAGAATGGTGAAGCAGCACAGATACATTCTGGATTTTGTCTTTTATAAAATGGTACATTTATTGGTAAAGTAATGTATATATGTTCCGAATGGATATTGAGATCATTTGTCCAGCAAAGGTGCCTTTTTACTCAACTTAGTACGAGCTAAGTTTTTATTTAGCAAATAAAGTAATTAGACTAAAGGAACAACAAACTATTCTCGACTCTATCCTAAGGATATATTGCTAATTCATATCTCTCTGGCCTGTATTTTCTCTGGCTTTTGCTAATTTGGAGTTATTTTTTCTTCATCTGATTTACTTTTTTGCTACCAGCATCTGTTACTGTGTCCTGAAAGATGTTCAGTTTTTGAAACTGTTATTAATCCTGGAATTGATTTCATTAGTAGAGGTTCAGGGTATAAAATCAGGAAGTCTCACTTAATTGGGCTGGCAGTTTACATTACTTTCCAAACAAAGCAGAAATAATCTCTACTATTAAACATTACAGTTGTAGCAACGCAATTTCATTTCTTTAAAATAAATTTAATTTCTTCCAAGTGAAATAACAGAAAATTGAGTATTCTGTCTGGAAGAGCCATAAGTAGTTGGCATTTCCAGTCTAACAACCCTTCAAAACTCAAATCCTTGGCATTCCAAATCCTAACTACTTGTGCTCAAAGAATGTCTGACACCAACCATCTAATGTAAATTCTGACTGTTCACCTCTGATTTTTATGGTAAATGTGCATGTGCAATAAAAAGCCAATTTTTAAAACTTAAATCTATTTTAAGTGGTTTTTCCTTCATCTGTATATTTTTACTTTTGTTAATTTTTAAGGGTTTGTAAGGTTCTACTCATTCTTTTCATTGTATTTTAGATTTAGCTGCTACTATGCATGCTCCTGGGTTTCAGAAAATGCATTCCTTCAAAGAACATTTTCTTGTGTTGCCTCTGGTTCTTTTATCAATTACTTTAAATCTATGCCTTCTAATTAAGACCTTTCCCAGTAATTGGGAACAGCTTTTTTTTCATTTATTTACTCTACCAAAAAGAAATGAAGGTCATGGTTTAGAAAGTGGAAACCATCAAAAATTGTATTCCCTGGCTATTATCCAGAAACTCCAGGCAATCATGCCACTAATGCCCTCCACAGTTTGGTTGGTCTTTGTGGTCTAGCATCACATGAAAGATGTACTTCTGTGCATAAGATTAGAGGATAACTGACTCGGAAGGAAAAAAATTCATCTCTTGACCCAATTTGGATTTGGCACAAATTTGACATGTATGGGTCCATGGTCTTTTCATGCTGGTCGTATCTCCCAATCTGATTTGATGTGTATTATATGTGAATTCTATATATTGCAAATTCCTTTACTTCCTTTACTTGCTTTAATTGCTGCTCTTTAATGCTTTAAAACTTGACTCAAATTTTCACCTTTCAAAAGCTGCCAATCAATGCTGTGGTACAGTTCCATAAGTGCTTGAGTATCTCTTTTGTTTGGCATGCTTTGTACACCATTGTATTTATTGGGTTATGAAAAAATAATGACTTTCAAATCAGAATAACCTGCATTTTTCTTATTCTAATCTTGCAGATTTGTTCATGTGAAAGTTCCAATTTAACAACGACCACTGTTGAAAAAAATAAATCTGCACCTTCAACTCAGACTGTAGTATCTCCCAGTCCAGGGCAGGTGCTGAAATCTGTGTTTGTACCTAATGTTGGTTGGGCTTCTCAGGTATGTATGTAAAAATGATCAATTCATCATCTCGAAATGCTAAGGTGTTTGTTGTGTAACTGTACCTATGGTAACTGTAACTATTGGTAATAGTTAGGCAGGTAGAAGTTTATGATATGGCTCAGTATTTGCCACCCTGAGTCTAACATAATCTTCAGAATTTAATTTTGTTATTTCATTATATTGAGAACTTGAAGTGGCATAAGAAAAGGGTAGGGGGAAAAAATGCTTTTCCCCCCCTCCTGCACCAGCCTCCAACCCTACCACACCACCACCCCCTCCCCCACATGCGCTTCCTCCCCCGCCTTCGCGGTCTAAGGAGATTTTTAATTTCTTCCCTTTTTTTTATAGAGGATTAGAACCATGTTCTTAATGTTTTATAAACTGTGAACCTTGTAAAATCCCAAATCACATCCTTCAATAAGGCCTGGAGGAAAGCAAAAGGAAATCCAATCCCATCCGGTTTCTTTCTTTCTGTATAGTATTCAGGGTTTTAATTGGTGGTCCCCATTGGTAAGTCCCAGCTTGTCATTGCTGTTCTACTGTAATGGGGAGAAACCAGTTAGTAATCAGCAGCAAAAAAAAATTACCACTGAAGATGCTGGTTATATTAGTAAACTACAGCAAAAGACTGCAACATAGCACTGCATATTCTTAATCAATATGTGTAATGGAAATCATTTTGGTGCAATTGGAGCAGCAGTCTGCTTTTCAGCCCTTCAAGATTTGTGGGGTTTTTTTGAACCTCAATTCTCTACCCTTCCAGGCTATCCCCGGATTTTTTTCATTTCCCCTAATGTTCAATCAGCTGTTGTTCTTGCTCTCAGTCAGAGATCCAACTAGTCATTTTACCTATGCTAAATCTGCCTCTTAACATCCTTTTTACTTCTGATCTGCCCATAGTACTGTTGAGATTCCAGTTCTTTTTCCTATCTGAATATGCAAGGTAAATTAGTAACTGGGAGAGCCGTGAGCGAGGGACTTGGTATTTGCAAATACATTAAAAAGACACTGCATCCTAACAACTGCCAGAACTCCTGGCGCACCTCTGCTCTCTGTAACACAACTCAAAGATGCAGAAGCAGGCCATTCGGCTCTTCGAGTCCATACTTTGTTTAAATAAGACATTTGAAGGTAGAAAGGATGAAACAGCAAGGCATGATTAAAAGTTCAATAAATTAGAGACAAATTGGAGTAAGAGAAAGTTTTAGGTAGCAACGTGAAAACAGAATCTTCTCTATATGTACTTGAATTTACAAGTGAGCTTTCATCTTTTTTAAAAAGTGAAATTAATACTGGAAAATAAAGAGAGGGTAGAAGAATTGAACAGATATTTTTTCATCAGTCATCACTTCATGGATATAAGTAATGTACTAGAAATAGTTTGTAAACGGGGAAATGAAAGGGAGGTGGAACTTCTTGAGCCAAAGAATGGTGAGTCTGGAACTTATTGCCATGGAAGGCTGTGAAAGCCAAGCCATTGAGTATATTTAAGATAGAGGTTCTTGATTCGTAAAGGGATAAAAGATTTTTGGGAAAAGGCAGGAGAATGGGATTGACAAAAATACCATCCATGATTGAATGGCAGACCAGACTGAATAAGTTGAGTGATATTGAGCCAATTGCTGGAGTTGTGCACTGAAAAGTCACTGGGTCCTGATGGACTTCTTCATGGACTTGCATAGCACCTTTTTGCAATTCAGTTACTAGGCCACCCAGATCCATCTGCATCTTTCACCATTTAGAAAATGTCTTATTTACTGAGTCAAAATGTACATTTTCACATTTTTCCATGGTAAACTCCATTTGGCAGATTTTTGCCTATTCTCATCCTATCTGTATCCCTCTTCACAACTTAAAGGTAGGTATCGAAAGGCCATCAGCAAATCTAGAAGTGGATAGTGTATTAGTTGAAAATTGTGTTTAATTATCCAAAGCTCCTTGAATTTGGGAAAGGTTCCATTAGATTAAAAACAACGAATATAGCTACTTGATTAAAAGAAGGTGTGAGACAGAAAGCAGAAAACTATAAGCCAAGAATTTAAACTAGGCAATGGCCTAGTGGTATTTTCCCTGGACTGTTAATCCAGAGACCCAGGTGATATTCTGAAGAGCCAAGTTCTAATCCCACCATGGCAGATGGTGGAATTTGATTCAATAAAAAATCTGGAATTAAGAATCTAATGATGACCATGAATCCATTGTCGATTTGTCAGGAAAAACCCATCTAGTTGACTAATTTCCTTTAGGGAAGGAGACTGCCATCCTTACCTGGTCTGGCCTACATGTGACCCCAGACCCACAGCAATGTGTTTGACTCTTAACTGCCCTCTGGGCAATTCGGGATGGGGCATAAATTCTGCCTAGCCAGTGACGTCTTCATCCCATGAGTGAATAAAGAAAAAAAACTTTTCTATGATGAATCACGTTTATTGAAGACATTACAGCAGGGTATTTTGGGGGGGGGTGAAATACAAGGTAATCAGACAGTGTCAACATAGTTTACTGAAAGGAAAATAATATTTATCCACAGTACATTTTGTTTTGCCAAAGAAATCAAACCAATTGGCTAAAGGGGAACTAGGATGTATTGTAAGTAGACTTCCAGAAGGCCTTTGATGTGGTGCCACAGAGGTTATTGCAGAAAGTAAAAGCTCATGGTATAGGGGTAACTAGTTCCAAACTTTTTTATTCTTGCCAATAAATAGGCACAAATGAGTTTGGTTTTTTGTTTCCCGGTTGGCAAGAAGTAGTATGCAATGTGGCACCAGGGATCTATGCTGGGGTGTTTATTTTATATAAAATAAATGAAATGCACAGACCAAAGGTATAGTTTCTAGATTTGCTGATGGCCTTTCAATATCTACCTTTTTAAAATATGAAGAGGGATATAGACAGGCTGCAAATGGCAAAAATCTGCCAAATGGAGTTTGTGGGAAAATATCCATTTTGACTCAGTAAAAAAGACATTCTCTAAATGGTGAAAAATGCAGATGGATCTTGGTGGCCCAGTGCATGAATTGCAAAAAGCTGCTATGCAAGTAGAGCAACCAATCAGAAAAGCTAATAGGCTTTCAATTTTCCTCAAAAAAATAACTATAAAAGTAGGGTGGTTGTGCTTCAATTAAACAGGGCATTGGGAGTATTGTATGCAGAATTGGTTTGCTTGTTTTAAAGAAGGATCTAAATGCATTCAAAGCAGTTCAGAAAAGATTTACTAGACTAATATCTGGAATGATTAGGCAGGCTACAGTTGTATTTGCTGAAGTTTGGATTAAGGAACAAGTTGATTGAAACACAAGATCCCAAGAGGTTCTGGGTGTGGATGTGAAAAGTGTGTTTACAGCAGCAGGCAAATCTTGAAATAGGCGTCACTGTTAGAAACTAGGAATCGCATATATAAGGCCGATGAGATTTTTTTGAGGTGTGTGAATCTTTGAAATGCTCCTCAAAAGTGTTTGCAGCAGGGTCTTTGTTTAAGGAAGAGGTATGCAGATTTAGGACAGGTAAGAGAATGAAAGGTTATCAGGGATATTTTGGAAATGTGGAGTAATTATAGCTGTGTACGTAGAATGGTAGATCAGGCTTGAGGGACTGAGTGCCCTTTTCCTATTTTGAATTAGAATCAATGAATAAAGTTCTGAGCATTTTGGTCTGAAGAGAATTTTATTTCTGTTTGTTTCTTCCTCTTCTTGCCCTGACTCAACTCAGTTGTTATTTGCTTTCAAATTTCTTGTCATTTTTATGCTGCCATTCCAGTTCCTCTGCTCACATACGTCCTTCCCACCATTGTTACTCCTCCAATCTTAAATTCTCCTCTGGAGGAGAGTAAGAGTAGAAGGGATAAGAGCTGGAGCAGCTAGCATGAGAGTGAGTGATATAATCTGAGATTGAAAGAATCAAACTCATATTCCAGCTCTCCCATGTTTATGCTCCTCCATTCTAATTTTCCACATTTTCTTGGCCTGGATGAAATGTATGTGCAGTTATTCAGGAGCCATCATTAATTAATATTGATGACAAACTTTTCTGTGTTTGCTTTTATTATTTTGTGGGCTACTTGTGATATTTTGAAGGTAATTTTGCCTGCTGCACCATATTTTGAATCCTGGTCTGTTCAATCACTCCTCATTGGACAATCCCTTTCGCAAGGAACCAGTTTAGTGAACCTTCATGGCACCCCTCTCTAAGGCTAGTATATTCTTCGTTGAGTGAGATTGTATGGTGTGATGTCACCAAAGTTCTTTATGATTGTTATGAATGAAGAGGTTTTACTACATCACCATTATTGGACTACATTTGTCAACTTTCTTTGATTTCCTTGAAATAACAGTTTATTAGTCACAGTTCAAAAATGAATCTTAACTGGGAGATAAGATACAAGCAACTCACCCCACTAAAAATGTTTACTTGAGCACCGTTTGCATAAGTCAATTTCAACTTCAATTATGGAAGCACTTTTCATGTTTGTTCAGCATATTGTCCATGTTTGTGCATTGGCAGGAAACATAGATGCCTTTTCAGAACGAGCAGAAGTATGAAGTAACTTTGAAATGGATATTCACTGTAATTTATCCAACTCCTGACTATCACAAAGATAGGAAATCCCAGGTTTTCTCTGTTAACTGACTGCTTGTATTCTTAGCAGTCGACAATTTCTTATGGATAGCTTTCTAATTAGAATGGCAAAACTAGTACAATTTTTCATCCCAGCATTGTCAAGTATTCGTACTAGATTTGAAATAAATAGTTAAATTTTCAAGTTATGTTTATTCATCAGTTTTCCATTGAACTCTGAATTCTGAAACGATCATGTTAATCCATTTTCTACAAAAGAAAAATTAATTGGGCTGTAAACATCAAATTTAGAAACTTTTTTCTAGTCTTCCCTATAGCTCTGAAGTTTGCCAACACAAACATTGATAGATAATAAGCAGAAAGATGCAATATCATTATAAAGGAAGTGTCTAGTCTCAGTGGTGCGTGCAGTGTCAGTATTATTAAAATGAGGACATTGAAACATTGTACAGTCAAAGTACCAAAAATGCAAACATTCTTTTGAAATGTCAACAACTCGCATTTTGCAATCAAGTCAGTATTTGTGACGAGCACTGCAGGGTCTGTATCAATGATTTTTCCAAAGCACAACATGGTAGAAGAAGGCATAACATGTAGGCCTTGTACCTCCCCATGGTAGCAAGGATGCCCAGCTAAATTTTTTGTTTTACAGATAACTTGTGTCCTGATACTTGCTTTGAAATCCAAAATTTAAGATTGGCAGCACTTAACTTTGTAAGAATGGGTGTTACTACATGAGAGCTGTCGAGTAGTGTTGTGGTTAAATCGCCACAAGCTGCCTTTAATTATGCTACTTATTTAGAAACTTTGCAGTCAATCAAGTACTGAAACAATGATTTAAACCTTATTGCATGTAGCAATCAAGATAAGACCTCCAGTAATCAAGTTAAATCTTGCAAGTCAACATAGCAGTAGAAACATAAGAGCAGGAGGAGCCCATTCGGCCGTTCGAGCCTGCTCCACCTTTCTTCACGATCATGGCTGATTGTCCAACTCAATAGCCTAATCCTGCTTTCTCTCCATAATCTTTGATCCCATTCGCCCCAAGTGCTATATCTAGTTGCCTCTGAAATACATTCAATGTTTTGGCATCTACTTACTTCCTGTGGTAATGAATTCCATAGGCTCACCACTCTCTTTGGGTGAAGAAACGTGTTCTCATCTCCATCCCAAATCATCTACCCTGAATCCTCATACTGTGACCCTGGTTCTAGACACACCCACCATCGGGAGCATCATCCCACATCTACCCTATCCAGTCCTGTTAGAATTTTGTAAGTCTCCCAATCCTCGGATTTATTATTTTTCTTGGCCAATCTGTTCGCTGCTTCCTTGGAGCGGATACTCTTATTTCCTTTGTAAGGCATAGATTGGCCTTCTTACCCATTTTGCTTTTGCGACAGACCAGAATAAACAGTTGTTGTAGTTCTCCCATGAGTTCTTGAATGTTTGCCATTGCCTATCTACTGTCGTCCCTTAAAGTAACTCTACCCAACCGAAGGCCAACTCGCATCACAAATCTTCATTAGCTTCCTTTGTTGAGGTTCAGCACCCTAGTCTCTGAATCAACAACCTCACTCTCCATCTTGATTAAAAATCCAATCATGTTATGGTTGCTTTTCCCCGAGGGGTGTTGCACAGCTAGATTGGCAATGATTGTCTTCTCATTACACAGTACCCAGTCTAGGATGGCCCGCTGCCTAGTTGGTTCTTCCACATATTGGTCAAGAAAATCATCCCGCATAGACTCCAGGAATTCCTCCTCTACGGCATTGTGGCTAATGTGATTTGCCCAATCTTTGTGCAGATTAAAATCACCCATGATCACCAGTAGTCCCTTATCACATGCATCTCTAATTTCCTGTTTAATGCCATTCTTGACATCACCACTGCAGTTTCGGGGTCTGTATATGACACCTACTAATGTTTTTTGCCCCTTTGGTATTTCTCAACTCTACCCATACAGACTCCACATTGTCAGAGTTAATATCCTTTCTCACTATTGTTAATCTCCTCTTTAACCAGCAATGCCACTCCACCACCTTTTCCTTTTTGCCTATCCTTCCTAAATACCGAATACCCTGGGAAGTTCCGTTCCCATCCCGGGTCACCCTGCAGCCATGTCGCCATAATCCCAATTATATTTACCCGTTTACATCTATCTGTGCAATTAGTTCATCCACTTTATTACAGATGCTGTGCACAATAAGGCACAAAGCCTTTTGAGCTTGTCCTTTTTAACAGTGTTTGTCTTTTTTCTCAATAGCCCTGTTTTGAACCTTGTCCTTGGTTTCTCAGTCTATTGCTTTTTTTTTCCTTTATTCCCTTTTCTAGCTTTTGTTTTTGTCCTTGCTGCTGCCTTTTCTGACTCTCTTTGTGATATTAGTTTAAACCCTCCCCAACCGCTCTAGCAAACTCTGCCGAGGATATCAGTCCCAGTCCTGCCCAGTTGTAACACGTCCAATTTGTACCAGTCCCAATGCCCTCCTCCGACACCATCTTTGCAGCCATGTATTCCTCTGATATATCCTGTCGTTTCTCCTCTGACGAGCACGTGGCACCAGTAGTAATCCTGAGATCACCTCATTTTGAGGTCTGATTTCTTAACTTTCTTCTCAGCTCCCTGTATTTGGCCTTTAGGACCTCATCCTCCTTTTTTTTTATTATACTGATGTGTACCACGACCACTGGCTATTCACCCTTCCCTTTCAGAATGTTCTGTACCTGCTCGGAGACATCCTTGACCTAGCACTAGGGAGGCAACATTCAATCCTGGAGCCTCATTTGTGGCCGTAGAAATGCCTGTCTATTCCCCTTACAGTTGAGTCCCCTATAACTATTGCCCTGGCACACTTTTTTTACCCCTCCCCTCTAGCTATTAATAGTGGAATTTAGCTATGATTCCAACCAACAGTGTCCGTCTCTGCAAGTATCCAGAGTTTGATCCTGGTGCAGTATTGTTCAAAGTTCTGCTCCTGTATTGTTCAAAGTTCTGCTCCTGTATTGTTCTGGTATTGGATTCTTGTACAGTTTTGTTTAGTCCTTCAGGTCTACAGTGTGATATCTCTGATTCTTTAGAGTCCTTTCATCCAAAATATTGCAAATCTGGAGCTTGCCTTTAGAAGTAGTTTCTTTGTTCCTTATTATGTTTGGCTTTAACTGTGTGAAGATGCAGCTTTCCTGCAGTTAACTCCTCATTCCTTTTGCGGGGCAATCATATCAATCATGTATGTCCTTGTGGCATGAGGCATCCAGTTATCAAGCAAGTGCTGAAACTGTGTTGTTTATGTAGTCTCCACTCCTCCTTTTCCCAGACACTATTTGATTTCAGTTCCTGAGAAAGTTTGTCCTTGCCCCTTAATAGTTTATTCCAGAACGAGTTATTACTGCTGCTTACCATATATAACAGTTTATCTTCTTTATTTTTTCAATTCATGAACAATCATTAAAGTTCTGAAGTTTATAACATCACAATAGTTAATATAGAATCCTTTTTTTTCTGTGCATTGCAATTTTACACTATTCTACAGATACCTGCATAAAGGTTAATTTAAGTAGGCATGTTTCTGCTTTATAGTAAATGGAGTGGGCCATAAGTTATTTTTAGAAAGGAATTGGACAGATATTTGAAGATGAAGAATTGAGTTAAAGACAAAATGCTGGAATCGGGATGAAACATGTCTACTGTTCAGTCAGCATGGGCATCATGTAATGAATGGCCTCTCTTTCTTTCTTTCTTTCTTTCTTTCTTTCTGTACTGCAAACTTCTAATTATTTTATGACTTTATTCCACTAGCCTGCCCTGCCATTCAATCATATCTGTATTTTATCTCCAAGAACTGTCTCGGTTCTCTAATTTATGAATGCCTTTAACAGTGGGGTATCAACAAGAAGCCAAAGAAGTTTTCTTAGAACGACCAAGTTTACTGTACAGTGAGTTCTTTGCAGTGGAAAGAAGCTGGGAGATCAAACCAAAATGGCAGGTGTCTCTGAAGAATAGCTATACCAGTAGATGAGTTTGATGTTTTGAAAAGCAATTGCTGAAAGTATTATTTGGAGAAAGGTCATTTTTGACTGTCTGTCTGTCTGTTCAATGGCACTCCCCGTGGAGACTGAAATGAACACTTCTCGTACTAAGTATCAGAAAGTATTAAAGATTTTGTTTTTGGCCTTGCATCGAAATAGAAGTAATGAGATCACACTTTCAATTATTAAACTGGATTTTGAAATAATGGAATAAAAGTTTAACCCTATAAATCCTGTTTGTTATTGTTTGATAGCTAATCAGTGGTGAAGTCTGGGTTCAATTTAACGATGGTTCCCAGCTCCTGGTGCAAGCTGGAGTCGCATCTGTTGTTTACACATCTCCTCAGGGCCAAGCAGTCAGGTAATTTTTTTAATGTAATAAGTGCTATGTATAACAATCATACGCTCAACTCATCAAATGGATTAGTTAGAACTGTATTTCACGATGTGAAAAACAGGTGTTGAACAAGTCTCAACTCTGATATTTATCAGATGACTTGATGAGATACCCATAGTGGATATGGGGAGGCAATGGCCTAGGCACTAGACTATTAATTCAGGGACCCAAGTAATGTCCTGAGGATCCAGGTTTGAATCCCACCATGGCAGTGGTGGAATTTGAAATCAATGTTTAAAATATCTGGAATTAAGAGTCTAATGATGACCCCGAAACCATTGATTGTCAGAAAAACCCATTTGGTTCACTAACTTTCCTTTTTAGGAAGCAAACTGCCATCCTTACCTGGTCTGGCCTACTTTTGACTCCAGCAACATGGTTGTCTCTTAACTGCCCTCTCAAATGGCTAAGCAGGCCACTTATTTGTAACAATCAGTAGAAAGTTCCAAAAGTAATGAAACTGAATGGACGGCGTCAACCTAATCTGGAAAATACAACGGCAAACAGTTTTGTCGATGCTGCAAAGTCCTCATTGGTAACACCAGGGAGCTAGTGCCAAGATTGAGGGAGCCGTCTCAGACTAGTCAAACAGGAGCCTGACATGATTCCATGAATATATCTTACAATGTCCCAGATGCTAGTTGAAGTGATACCTGGCACAAAAGATTGTGTTTGGATGAGGTCTGCCATTTCAGTTGCAGGACACCTGTAGGATTTCCTCAACCCAGTTATCTTCAGCTGCTTCATCAATGACTTTCCCTCCATCATAAGATTAGAAATGGGATATTTGCTGACAATTGCACGTTTTTCGGCACCATTTTCTTCTCGGATACTGAAGCAGCCCATGTTGAAATGCAGCAAGACCTGGACAATATCCATGCTTTGTTTAAAAAGTAACAAAAAAAACCTGTCAAATGCCAAGTAATGACCATCTCTAACAAGAGAGTGTAGCCATTGTCCCTTGTCATTCAATGGCATTACCACCACTGTATCAGCAATATAAATACTGTAGCTACAAGAACAGATCAGAGGCAATGAATCCTGCAGTAAGTCCCCTCCTGACTCCCCAAAACCTTACTGACATCTACAAGGCACAAGTCAGAAGTGTGATGGAATACTTCTCACTTACCTGGATAAGCTCTAACAACTCAAACCTTGACACTATCCAAGACAAGGCAGCCCATTTGGTTGGCACCACATCCACTCACACTGCCACCGGTGCTCAGCAGCATTGTGTACCAGCTACAAGATACACTGCAGATCGGCACCAAGATTCCTTTAGACAGCACTTCCAACCAGGACATGGGCAGCACATACATAGTAACACCACCACTGCCTGAAAGTTTCCCTCCAAACCGTGCATCATCCTGACTTTGAGATGTATCACCATTCCTTCACTGTTCTAGGGTCAAATATGGGAGGTCCCTCCCTCATAGCATGGTGGGTCGACCTATAACACAGTTAGGGATGGGCAACAAATGTAGGCCCAGCCAGTGGCGCACACATCGCAGGAAGGATTTTTTAGTAATGGTGAATTAAAATGTGGTTATCTTTTATTTCCTGACTAAAAGCATCTATTTACAACACTCCAGCAAATGCAGCATTCCAGCAATGAATTGGTTGTCATGCTACAACTCCTCCATTTTTATAAATGGGCTAGGAGGTATATAGAAACGAAACAAAAATCATCTGAGGATCTAAATATTCATAAAACTAATGCCATTCATGGAAAATACATTTTAGAATATTTTCTTCTGGCATTTGGTCTTCTCAAAAGTATCAGTTGCTATTTTAAGTGCTTCAATGGGTGGATTTGTACAAAATCTCTGCAGCAGAGTCCTCCTATATTCAGTCGGAATGGTCATGAAGCTGCTGTAAACTCTCTGCTCTTTGAATAGATTTCAAACTTTATTTAGCCTTTTTAAAGATTCTAATAGACCTAGGGAAAACAAAATCTCAATCTGTAAACAGCTGTTATGCAAGTTGTTTTTCTTGCTGCATAATGCTATCATGGAACAAGCAAATTTTCCAAAACTTAGAATTCAGTCATGCTAAATAGCAAAATGTTTGACATTTCTATAAATCTCAGGGAAGATGTGGATGAGAATTTACTGGACACTAAGGACTGAACAACCACTTACACCATTATAAATCTGTTAAGACCACCTGAAGTAAAAGATTGGAATTATAAATTTTTTAGTGAAAAGAGACAGCTTTAGATGTGTACCCTTCATTTTATGATTGTCATATTTTGAATTATGTAGTCATGCTGCATTTATAATTAGTCTCTAAGTTCCTTTTATTACTCCAGTTATCTTGCTATTGATGCAAACAACTGCATATAAATCTTTTTATTGTTACACCTCTCTATCATTTTGTCTTGCTTTCATCACTACAGTTCGTCCTCCATTGTCAGTATGCATGTCAGAATGCATACTAATTTTTTTTTTAAGCTGTCAAGTGTAATGATTTTAAATAGAACCAGAATTTGCTAAAGGCACTCTGATCTGGCAGCATCTGTGGTGAGAAAATAGTTAACGGTTTGTGTCGAGTGAGCCTTCTTCAGAACTGAACATTGGACTCAACATTAACGGTATTTTGTCTCCACAGATGCTGCCACACTTGCTGAGTTTCTCCAGAAATTTCTGTATTTGTTTCAGAAATCCAGCATCTGCAGTTTCTTTTTGTTTCATTTTGATTTTAAACAGAACTGGCCCCATCCTCCCCTTCATGAAAAATAAGCATTGTAATGTTTTAATAGGTATGGGCAAAATGAGAAGATTCCAGATCACGTGAAAGGGAAACTACAGTGCCTCTCTTCAATCCTAGGATTGCTGGCAAATCAAACAAACCAACATATTATTCAGTAAGCAAGTTCATCTGTAATGTGAAGTCAGAAGTTTGGCAACATTCTCTTCTGGTATTCTGTTGTTCAGCATGCTTTTCAGAGAAAAATTGGAGTTTTCTTTTTCTGTAATAGTATGAAACTTGATTAACAACTAACCAAGTTCAAGTTGAAGAATTGTTTATAAAAGTGTAAATATGCTATAAAGTCTGTATATTTTGTAATGCTTGTTAATGTACATTGAAGACTTTTATTTTTCTATTGCTCATTTAGGTGAATTTTGAATGAACATCAATGTCATGTGTTAAAACAATTTTAAAAAAAAAAGTTGAAGTGGTAGATTGTTGAATTGTATTTGTCTGCTTTGTGTATAAAGGGATTTATACAAATTATATAAACTTGTACATGAACATTTTTGCTTTTGTAAGACAATTTTATATAGGCATTTTATATACTTCTGTGGATGTATTTTGATTTCAACCATTTTAGCATTGATCTGTTTGTGCCATGTTCTAGCTTTACATTTCACCTGTTGTAAGCAAAACACTTCCTTTTTTTTTTCCTATTCCTCTCCCAAAATGAAATTGGGAATTGTACTCTGTCCTTTTACACATCAGCATCATGAAACCTTTTTACCCTGGATTTTTAACACCTTTTGAAATCTTGAAATGGCAAAGCGAAGCAATTTGCAAATTTAGCAAGTAATGCTATATATTCTGGTATTTTGTTAATGTGGAAAGTATGTTAAAGTTGGCTGCAGTACTTCTGCCCCAATACTTTGACTTGTTTTAAAATCAGTAAGTATTAACTATTTACTAATTTTGGTTTTAATCTCTGGGGTCCAACCTTAGTATGTAGCTGAAAAATAATGATTTGCTGAAGTGAATGAAACGAGCACCCAGTTGCTGAAATGGCATGAATTGTTTCTAATTGTGATTTTGATTATAATTGTCTTACAGAAACTGAAGTCTAGACTTTGCCATCATTCCCTGGCATTACTGTAAATTATGTATATTGTGCACATATTTGTACTATTTTGTATATAGTTGACTATTTTAATACAATAATTGGTTTGTATTTTGTTGTAGTTTACTGCTGTATAAATTTAGTTTCACTCAACTCCCCATCCTTAAACTGTCACATTTCAGGATCTTCCACCCTTTTCACAATTTTAAAAGAATTACTGTAGGTGGTGTGTATCATACAATATTTTTTCAATATAAAGAGGCTGAACTGAAAGGTAGTTTTAAGATAATAAAGTTGACATTGCTTTCTAACTTGTAACTATCCCAACAATCAAACCTCTCAACCAGAAAGGGAAAGTGAAAACTTCCAATGTAATGGATATGAACCATGAAATAGAAAACAGATGTTTGGAAGATTGTGAGGGGGCAGGGGGAATAGTTGGGTCAGAAAAGGAAGAGCTTCTATAGTAGTGAATATTGCTGGAGGATAAGTTTTTAAAAACCATTATTTTTAAGTGACCTAATTAAGATATCAATTTTCAAATTTTGTTTTCTTTACACCAGTTGTATAAATTAGGATTCTTTTAAATTTACATTTTACAGCTACTCAGTGTGCTCACCTTACTGAGAAATAAAGCAGCTTAGCATTTTGTATCTGGCCTACTCTCGCCAAATATTTAAGTCTGGCAGCATCTGTGGACAGATTTGATGAATTGGGTTGAATGGACATTAGTGTTTTTGTTATTCAAGATTTTTAGCTTGTGCAGTGTTTGGTGAGACTAAAGGAAAATATATATTTGGTTCACATTCTAAAAGATGGAAGTACATGCATAATACCCACACACATCTAATTCAAGTCAGAAGGACATTGTTCCTCTATCAGGTAAAATTAGACCATGTGTTGCAATTCTTAATACAATCCAGATTCATTCAATGTTGCAGAAGTCAGCTGTGCGTGTGTACACAAATTACCAGAACCAAGGAGGTTATGTATGATAAATCCATTTTTTTTTTTAATTAGTATCTGTTAAGTAAGTTGCAACAATATGCAAAGTGAAAATAACATTTGCAGTATCCCCCTACCACTTATTTGAAGCAGGTTAAGTCCATATAAAATGTAAAGTGCAATCAGTTAGGTTTCATCAGTTTTTTTTTTTGGCCCATCATTATTGCAGTCTCTGATAGTGGATTGAGAATCCTAAGAGTCTGTTGTATATCAGACCCATAAGTATTATAGCTGCCATCACAATCCCACAAATGGGGCCGAATGTCCATCGAGGCCCATAATGAGTGTAAACTTGACTAACGAACACAGGTCCAAGTGTGCGTGCTCCACTTCCAGTGGCTGTTAGCCAGCCCATATAAACACCCTAAGAAGTTAAAAGTGAGAACAAAATTGGATGTCATACACTGTTGATAAAGTAAAAACTTACATTTTTGAAGCAGTTCTGTGGTTAATATTAATACTGTTAAATAAATAGCAATTCTATGGCTGTTTAAAAATAAGTAGCAAGTATGGTTAAAATAATTTGGCTTTAAATTTGTCAAATTAAGCCTCTGTAGGAGATGCTTTTCTTCCAGTTATGGATCAGAATGTTTATTCCAACTTGTTCTCATTGGCTGTCTTCTACGGCCTAGCTAACAAAAGAAATACCTTTCAGTCTGGGTCGTGTAATAGTTGATCTGACAGTGAGTAAGCCTTCAATTCAACTTCGCTCACTGCGCAATTTTAGCCTGAATTATATACTCTGGTGAGCACAGCAAGCCCGGTATATGTTGAGTTCTTGAAACTAGTTAGCACGAGCTTGACTTTATGCTCTGATTCTCATCTAGATTCTATTTTTTAAAAATTGGTCAGTGGGGTGGAACGCCTGTCATTTATAAAACCAGTTGTTAAACTTCAACTACAAACTACTTCAAGCTATTTTGTTAAAGGATAGCAGAATATTGGTGCTGTAAGATACTTTCTTTGAAAATTACAAAGACCGATGTAGCAGTCAAAGTACTTTGTCTAACTATGGTCTTTGATTACACCAATTTAAAATAAGATGCAAGAACATAACAGGGAAAGCAAAAGATCACCAATATATAATTACAAAAATATGACAATATAAATACAACCATACGCTTGTTAGAAGAGCATGTTATTGAGAAATCCAGTGTCTCATTTTATTCATTGATGGCTGTTGACATTGTACTATAATTAAACATCTGTTACCTGAGGCTTTGGTCCAAGAAGTTTTGAATACAATGTATAGGTCATAACGTTACAAACTGGGTACCCCATTCCAATCAGTACTGCGGAAAGGATGTACTGAGCTAGATGGATGATAGGAATATGCTGACACCACACTTGCTGCACAGGACAACCTATTCTCTCAGCATTGAGGTACAATGAAGGTTGTGTTAAGAAATTCCACGTAATTATGGATGACTCATTATACTTCATTTCAGCAGAATTGTAATTGGAAGTGTTCTTAATCTCTGTAAATGATAGAAAAATAATTGGGTTATTTATTCTTAACATGCAATTGATTGTCTTTCCATGAAATAGCTGATGGCAAACAAATTTTTGTGCATATAAATGACTAAATTTTTTACCTTTTTTGAGAAACTACCTATGTATCCTCAATATCCTATTTCTACCAATATGACTGGAATAGCCATACTTACGTTTAAGGATCGACAGCAAACATTGAAGAAAATAACAAAGATATACCAGTGAGAGAAGGATTTTAAGAAAGAAGGATTTTAAGAAAGGGATATGCCAGCCAGAGTATTCCAACAAAGGAAGGTAGGGATTGCTTCAAGTTCAAAAGGGGAAAAAAATACAAAGCAGAGATTAGTATGATGGAGGATTGGGTAAATTTTAAAAAGGCAAAGAGGGTGGAAAAAAGAAATAGTTGACAGCAAAAGTCTTTTAAATACATGGAAGAGTGAGGTCAGTGTGAATGTAGGATTCCCTAGGACAAGGCTGGGGAAATAGGAAATGGTAAAGTTTCTGAAGAGTTCAATAAATACTTTGCATCATCTTTCACAGTAGAGGACACAACAGCTATTGATTGCAAAAATCCTAAATAATCAAGGGGAGAGGAAATAACACCAGAAAAGAAACAACACAAAATCAATGGTGTCAAAAGTTGATAGATCCCTTAGACCTAGCCTAGGTAAAGGAAGTAGCTACAGAGATAGTGGAAGATTATAACCAGTGCATCCAAGAAACCTTAGATTCTGGAAAACTGTCAATGTAACACGTCAATTCAAAATCCAAAGGCGAGAAAAAAAGTGGATAATTATAGGCCAGTTAGACTAACATTTTAAGCTATTATAATGGATGAGCATTTTAAGTAGAGCATTTTGAAATACACAATCTAGCAAAGCTAGCATAGATTCATGAAGGCAAAAATAATGCATGCAAAACTTATTAAAACTCTTTAGAGGTAACAAGCAGAATAGATAAAGGGAAACCAGTACACGAAACAGGCTATTTAATAACATAACCTACAGTGATGGGAGTAGTATATTAACATGGATGGAGAACTGAGATAAAAGGAGGACACTTTCAGGACGGCAAGCTATAATTAGTGAAGTGTCACAGGGTTCAGGGGTGCGGTACAGTTATATATCATAGCGTTGAGACCTTTTTATTTTTATCATTTTGTAGTTTGGAGCTGGAAGCTGAAGGTGACCTTTGAACTGTAAGCAAAAGCTTGTTTTCATTTTGAAAAAAAACTGATTTTTTTTTGAGGCTAGACCTGTAGGTTAAATTGCAGGTTGATTCTTGCTCAAAGAAAGCTATAGGTGTTTCAGATGTGAGGATATATTATGCTCAAACAGTTAACCAATGTTTGGATATTAATGACAATCAGTCCAACAAAGGAAATAGCAGCCAAAGTTAAATGTTTTCTGTCAGAAGGATTATGGCTGCTAAAGCTATAGGACAGGTTTGATTTCTCCCTGCTTATCCTCCCGTTATCAACTTTTTGAGTCTCTGTTTTAAAAAGCAAATGATTATTCTGCTGTACCTACTAGAAGTTATTTACATTGAGCAGTGTCTTCAGAAAGCAAGCAAGATACAATCCCTTGTGCATGTGGTGTTATGAATCACGAAGACTGCTTCCAATGTCAACTACATCACTTCTGCTAACGCTGCCAACATCGCTACTTCTTCTGCCCATGTGACTGTTCCCATACACATACACCCACTCCTGCAACAGTCTTCACCCTCACCCCTAGCTCCAGCTCTACCTAGCCCTAGCCCTAGCCCTAGCCCTAGCCCTAGCCCTAGCCCCAAGGTCTGCTGGGTATTCACAATGCACCCCCACCCCACACCCCACACCCCAGATCTCCCCCTCACTGATGACAAATGGTCAGTCCTCAGCAAAGGACTCTCAGATCAATGAACCATACACGCCAAGAAGTCAAACTCTTTTTTCCGCTGCCTCCACGCCCATTTCATTGACCCAGAGTCTAACCCACTTCTAACGACCATTTCACCCACCTCCAATAAACCTCATCCCCTTGGACACCACCCTATGGCCTTCTACCCTCCCTTGACCTCTTAAAACTGTCATTGCAACATCAATCACCTCTCCACCCCTCATACTCACTTCAACCTCTCCCCAACGGAACGTGCAGCCCTCTGCTCCATCCACTTCAATCCCAACCTCACCATCAAACCCACTGATGGGGTTGGGGCGTGGTGCATGGTGGTGGTATGGCATACTAACCTCTACACCGCTGAGGCCAGGTGCCAACTCTCCAGCACCTCTTCATACTGTTGCTTGATTATGACCCCATCCCTGGTCTCCAAACCATCATCTTCCAGACCGCCAATAATCTCATTACCTGAGGAGGCCTCCAACGTCATTGTTCCCCAACACCACAATACCCATTTCTATCTCCTTTCCAAAATCCACAAACCTGACAGCCTGCTCCTGCCCCACTGAACTCATCTCCACCTACCTTGACTCAGTTTTCCCCCAGTCCAGGAACTCCCCACCTACATTTGGGACACTACCCACACCGTCCACCTGCTCCAAGACTTTCAATTCCCAAGCCCCAAATACCACGGACATCTAGTCTCTCTACACCAGTATCCCCCCCCATGAGAGGAACCTAAAATCCCTCCAATTCTTCCACTCCCACAGGCCCAGCCAGTCCCCCTCCACCGATACTTGTCCTTAGCCTCAACAAATTTTCCCTTAACTCCTCCCACTTCCTACAAACTAAAGGAGTGGCTATGGGCACCTGTATAGGGCCGAGCTACGCCTGCCTCTTTGTAGGATATGTCGAGCAGTTACATTGGCACTATCCCTCACCTCTTCCTTCCCTACACTGATGACTGTATCAGAGCTGCTGCATGCTCCCAGGAGGAGCTTGAACAATTCATCAACTTTACTAACATCTTTCACCCCAACCTCAAATTCACCTGGACCATCTCCAACAACTCCCTCCACTTCCTGGACCTCTCCGTCTTCATCTCCATTAACTGTCTCAGCACCGACATCTATTTCAAAGCCACTGACTCCCATAGCTAACTTGACTACACCTCCTCTCACCCACCCTCCTGCAAGAATGCAATCCCATACTCCCAATTCCTCCACCTCCACCAAATCCACTCCCAAGAAGGAACATTCTTCTCCCAGACATCCCAGATGTCCTCCTACTTCAAGGACCTTAACATCTCTCCCCTCCAGTGATTCATAATGCCCTCAACTGCATCTTTTAGATTTCCTGCACTTCTGCCCTCAAACCCCCTTCCCCCAACAAAAACAAGGCCAGAGTCCCCGGTCCTCACATAACATCCCACCAACCTCCGCATCCAGCGTATCATCCTCTGCCATTTTCACCATCTGCAATCCGACCCCACCACCAAAGAGATATTTCCCTCCCCATCCCTATCTGTCTTC